TCACGAAGCAGCTTGAGCAAATCTCAAGAGAAAGAAACTTGCTAAATAATTCTCTCTCACTCCATTGCCCCTCTACATACCAAACAGGATACGCTTCCTTGTAAATGCCTATAAATTTCCAGGGAGGAAAACAAATCTGATCTTGTATACAGAGCTCTAGGCTGCAAGGAACATGGTTGGATTTCTGTTTCCCTTAGAGGAAGATGCCAGAACAGCATTTTCCCATCAAGTGTTGATAAGAAAGGCATTTAGCGTTTCATTTGATGGGGCTGTTGTGAGTGGGTGGTATGACACGATGAATTACGGCCAATGTCATATTAAAAATTACAGGCCCATCCACACATACTCTGTTCTCAAGCCAATGATACACTGTCCTGTGCAAAGCCTTCGGCTGTGGAAGATGTGGTGGAGATGTTCCTCTCCCAGGACAACTTTAGAAAATAGAATTCTCAAAGGTTTAGAGAGGTGATGGCCATCTTTGTGGTCCATAAACAAAAAACAAACTAAACCCTAACTTTCTGCCAACAGGTCCCTGTTTAAGTCTGACTTGCCACCTTGACCCATGTCATTCCCCCAGGGATTCAATCTATTTCTCTGCAATATAAACAAAATAAATTGAGCTAGAAATTAATTTTAAAATTAGAAAATAATTTCCTCTGTCCAACCTCAAAGAGGCATCTCAAATTAAACTGTAAAGGGATGTTTTTGATTCTGACTTTTAAGACACTCTGAAGAGGGAATCTGCTCTATAAGGTCAAAGCTAAATCAGTCACTCTAAAGGTAAAGGACAACAGTAACTTCTCCATCAAATATTTCCACATGAGGTGAGTCTAGTTGCACTCTTTCTATTCTAGAGACTCTGAATCCTATGGTATAAGTGGAAGATTCAATCAAGACAAGTAATTCAATAGAAGAAATTAAATACAGGGTATTAATGCAAAGGTGTTAGAAGAGTTGACATAGCAAGCAGAAGGGAAGGCTATCCTAAGAAGCATTCCTGAGAAGAACAACTTGAGGATGTTGCTACCATCGCTACACTAAGGGGCCAAGAGAAGATGCAGTGTTACTGGCATATGGGAGCCAAGGTCCCCTGCAGAAGCTGGGTCCACAGTGGGGCGGCCTGGTGGGAGCTGGGGGCATAGATAGAAGGGGTTTCCCATAAGAGCTGGAGCCATGGAAGGTACACAGCCACTGCCAGAGAGGACCATCTGAGAGAGAGACATGGGGACAGACAGACCCTGGCTTCTTTCTCTCTTCTGCCCACCTGGAATTTCTCACTGCTGCCTCCCCCTGGATGAACCTCACTGGAATCCAGTGGGCACAGAAGCCTGAAAAACAATCTATGGGGGCAAACCCTGTGACACATGCAAATGCAGACAGGAGATGGATTTGAGAATGGATCTAGAAGCACACAACCAACCAACACAACTATTAAGCTCAACTGTAAGGACAACTGAATACAGCCCAGGCTTATAAGTCAGAATAGGAAAAAGAAAATAGGTTGAGGGAAAACCTTGTCCAACAATAAATAAGTAAAACCACCACAACTTAAAAGTTCCCAACTCTTCCCCTCCTAGATCAAATTAAACTCAGGAGAAAAAAAAAGTCGAGACTGAGACTGTTATTGAATAACTCTTATGAAACTGAGCTAATGTCTAACAAGGAAAGTGCTGGAAGAAATGCTAGGTATACCTGTTACCTAGTAACTATCACTTCTGCTATGTAACAAAAGACCCCAAGCTTGGTGGCTTAAAATAACCACCATTGTATTTGCCTCTGATTCTTTTGGTCAGAAATTTGGGCTGGTTTTGGCTCAACTAGGCAATTCCCAGGTCTCACCTGAGATTATTCACATCTACAGTTAGGTGACAGATTGACCAGGGCCAGTTGGTCCAGGGCGTGTCCACTGCAGTGACTCCTGTCTGCTCCAATAGGCACCCCAACTTCTTTGCATGGTAGTCTCAGAGTGTCGAGAGAGGCCCAGTGATCAAATGCATTCTCAGTGTCTGACCAATCTTGTTTGCCCTGCTGACCAACCCTAGTCACAATGTCAAGCCCAGATTCAAAAGGTAGATAGACAGACTCTACTCTTGATGGGAAGAATGTCACAATCACATTACTAAGGGACACACATATTAGGATAGGGGAAAATATGGCCATTTTAAACAATCTAGCACACTAGAAAAATGGATTTCCTAGCAAGTATTTTTCTAGCCAGAATATTCCTGTTATATCCATAGCTGAATATTTCAAAAGGATATATATTTATTTTCTAAATAGCAAATGTTTTGGGTTGTCACGGAGACACTGGGCTCTGAAACGGTTCCCTCGCCCCCTTCAACCAAGCCCACTCCATTAGGGGTTCATGGTCAACAGCCAAACTACCTCTCCCCATGGTAAGGGTGTTGCCTCAAATTCAAATCCAAATTCAAATTCAGAGAAGTCTTAAGATTGCCTTACTTTTCTCTGTACCTTAAAGAACGGGAAATTTAGCTTTCAGTACAGCACTGTGGGAAAACATCAAACTCAAAATCAGACAATGTGGTTTCATATCCTAACCCTGGAACCAATCATTTATATAAGTCACTTGGGCAAGTTGATTCTTTCAAACTCACAATTTTCTGATTTGCAAATTGGGAACTTAAACGATTCTGGGCTAGTTGGGGCAAGAGTGAGAGGGTGAGGGACAGAAGGGGTAAGATGGTAACTGGGTGAGTGAAGCTGGCTGGTGTGAAACAGGCAACCCGGAGAATGGGCGCTCTGTTAACGGCATTTAAATTCACTGTTTTCACCTAAAACATGTTGGCTCCTGATCTGATAGCAATCTGTGACCAGATACTCTCCCAAACCTGGCCTGGCTCTGCCGTTTGCAGCCTCTTCTCTTCCCTTCCACCTTCCCTCATGCCTCGGCTAGATCCATCCTTGCCATGGAGTTATCAGGTCCACCTGGTCTTTGGGACAAGGGCAGCTTGCGTGCAATGCAAAGAGCAGAGCACAGTCACTGGCCTCTTCCTTTAAGCCATCTTGTTTCAATCCCACACACCCCTTAAAGTGGGATTGCAATTGACAGGGCTCTTGCTTTCACATAAGCAATGCCAGCTGGACTGATCTAGGGCCATAACTCTGCCGCACTCACTCCTATCTGTGTACCGCAAAAGGCAACGGGACCAAACGCCCTCAGATCCTATCGCTGCCCCACAGCCAGCTGTGGATTAGCACGCCTCTCCCTGCACCCCTGGTTCCAAGCACTGCTTGCCCCAGGGAAGACGTGCTCCAAAAATATCCACCTTCTAATGACCTCATCGTTTCACAGGGGATTCTCAGGAGGTTAGAATGCAGAAGAAAATAGGTTGTTAGCAGCAAGGCGGGAGACTAGAGGAATTGAAGAAGTCCTGCAACTACACTAGGTCCTGCCCTAAGCTGGTAGGAAACTGCATCATTAGAAACACAATGTTTGATGTGAACAAGGCTGTTTCCATACAGGCCTTTGAGTCTCATTTCCTCCCTTCAGCCCAGCAGGACCACTTCAGACCGAACTCTTCTCTCCTAGTGAATCTAAAGTGGGCCCCGAGTTTCCTCATTGAATGCACAAGAACATGAGTGGCAGAGCATGGTCTGGATGCGAGTCCTGGCTCACCTCTGCAAGTTCAAATGCGGTGAAGTTGGGTAAAGTTTCCAAATGTCTCTAGGCCTCAGCTTCCTCATTGGATCATAGGATCATGGAGATAATTAATTGAGAAAATAATGGTAGAGTTTTTTAGTATGTGTCATATAGTAACTATGCAATAAATGTTAGCTGCTATTATCGCATCTCTGATTATTATATTATTGATAATAAAATTATTACCTTGTCTTAGGTATTCCCTTTATGTTAGCTGTGTCTAATTAGTTAATACGCTCAAGAGCAAGGATGATACAGTTCTCCTCATCTCCATTCTTACCCAACCCCACTGCACTCACCATCGGCCCAGTGCCTCGAATGCGACACACCCCCAGAGGTTATCGTAGTGTAAGGGCAAGGTGCCAAGATGAAGAAAGCACAAGCTCTAACATGGACATGTGTTCCATTCCTGGCTCTGCTCCCTAATAATTACTGACTTCGGCCAGCTTACCAAGACTCAGGTTCTAATCTATAAAATGGGGGCAGAGTGACTGCCCCATAAAGTGACTGTAAAGACAGATCCTTCACAGTGGGGGCCAGGAGTCCCCATGGGCACTTAATAAGAGTCTATTTCCTTCCTTCTCACCATTAACGAATTGATCGGCTCGTGCCTGATAAGATGGGGAAGCACACATGGACTCTGGCCCCGACAGAACAGGCCAAGGGGGGCAGTCTAATGTCCCAAAGGTAAATGTCACTGACCTCATAACAGGGCATGTCCCCAGCGGCTCCCCTGCCCTCTTACACCCATTCTCAATGCCATTTAGAGATGGAAACCTGTCATCAACACGGGCTCCTCAATAGAACCAGGGAGCAGAGGTATCAGAGTCTTTAGGACATCCCTGTCTCTCCCCTCAAGGACTGTTGAGGTTCTGGAAGGTATGTATGTATATGTATATGTGTTTTTTGTTTTTGGATTTTTTTTGTTGTTGTTGTTTTGAGACAGAGTCTCGCTTTGTTGCCTAGGCTAGAGTGAGTGCCATGGCATCAGCCTAGCTCACAGCAACCTCAAACTCCTGGGCTCAAGCAATCCTGCTGCCTCAGCCTCCCAAGTGGCTGGGACTACAGGCATGCGCCACCATGCCCGGCTAATTTTTTCTATATATATTAGTCGGCCAATTAATTTCTATTTATAGTAGAGATGGGGTCTTGCTCTTGCTCAGGCTGGTTTCAAACTCCTGACCTCAAGCAATCTGCCCGTCTCGGCCTCCCAGAGTGCTAGGATTACAGGCGTGAGCCACCGTGCCGGGCCTGTATATATGTATATACATATATAAACACTCTATTTTTTTTCCTCAAATTTTCTTCCCTTGTTTCCTTCCTGCATTTCTATCCTCAGCAAGCATGCCAGACAAAAGATGTAGGCTATGTGGATGTACAGCCAGACCTCATGGGCTCACCTTGCGTTTTCCTGGAACCATAGAATGTTAGTGCTGAGATGAACCATCCAACAACCTCACCATAACGATGGAGCCTCGGAGAAGCTGAATGGCTAATGCAAGGTCACCCAGCTAATCGAGGACAGAAATGAAACCAGACCCCAGCTCTACTAGCTCCTAGACCAGTGTTTTTTAATATCTCATCTTTCTGATGCCTCAGAAGAATACATGGTTCTGAAGATATTTATTAAGTCAGTCATGCTCTAAATTCCCACATGGACTTCCCCAGCCTGTATTTGGTGGGAGCCATAAGTCATGATCTTCTAGGTCTAAAATCAATGAACTGAAGACATCCACCACAAAGCCATTTAAAATGGCTTCTTTCTGCATCCCAGAGTATGGTATGCACTCCTCTCCCATATGCTATCTCTTCTCCAGGGCTGGGAATATACCCTAAGACCTCCTTGTGTGAAGGAAAACAGACCCCAGCTGTCCGGCCATGCTGAGGCTCCAATATGGATTTCAGCTGCTTCACTATAGGGCTGCATTCAATGAATTGCATTTTTAAAAAAATGTTTAATATCTACATGGCTCTCACCCAACTGCATTAAAAACACCAGCTGTACCATGCTCTCTCCTCTAATTTGACAGTTGTAAGAACAGCTCCTGAAGAACAGAACATTCTTCGGGGGTTGGGCTGTTGGTTTTGCAGACATTTTAGGAGGCTTAGAAGATCAAACAGATTTTAAGTTGCAATGTCATGTAGGGAAATGGGTGGGAGGTGACAGAAGAAGGAATCTGATGTGCATTGAATGCCTGTCATCTACCAGGCACTGGGTCGGGTAAGTTCTCATGGCTGACTATAGTTGGTTCTCACAATACTGAGATGAGTATAATAACCAAAATTTTACAGATGAAGAAACTGATGCTTAGAAAGATGAAGAGATTTGCCCAAAGTCACACGAGTAATTTGTTGTATAACTGGTGTACTCATTTCCTAGGGCTGTTGTACCAAATTGCCATAACGTTGGTGGCTTCACACAGCAGAAATTTATTCTCTGACTGCTCTCACACCCCTTGGCTTGCAGCTGTGTAACCCCAGTCTCTGCCTCTGTGGTCACATCTCTTCTTCATCCATCTTTCCTCTGGGTGTCTCTTGCAAGGATATTTGTCATTGGCTTTAGGGCCCATGTACATAATCTAAGATGATCATATCCTGAGATCTTTAGTCACATCTACAAAGACCCATTTTCCAAATAAGGTCACATTCACAAGTTCCAGGGTTAGGATGGGGACATGTATCTTTTTTGGGGGGGAGGCACTACCCAACCCACTATGGCTGGGTTGTAAATTCAGGTCTATCTTATTCTATATCCTGTTTTCTCACTACATTGTCATGTTATTTCCTGCCTTTTCTTCTCTTTTGCAAGGTTGACCTTGGCCAAGATACATATTCCAAGGCAGCCACAGCCATAGTATTAATAAGGCACACGAGCCCTAGATTTCTCAGTTTTCCAGAGACTTAGTAACAGAGCTGAAGTTTAAGCTTCTGTCACACCTTGCTCTTGCCCTTGGAACCACAGAGGAGATCTGCCCCTAACAGATACCCTGGCATTGCCTCCAAACATCAAAGGTTGACTCCTTTGAATAGTTCAGCTCTCCTTTTGCAGGAGTGAGAGAGTTAGCAGGTGTCAACTTAACCTACAGCCATCCGCTAATAGGTTTAAGATAAAAGGCCAATACATTTAAATAAGATTCAGACATAATGTAATAGTATTTGTTACCAAGCCCCATCTAATTATATCAGTCAATCTCTTATTACCAGACCCATAAGTGCAGAGGACTCTATTATAATTTCTCTTTATAATGATCTCCTCACTATCTGACTCTTCGAACTCTGCAATAAATTAATCATCTGCTGGCAATCATGAGTAAACATCAACTCAATTAAGAATTGATAGCTAAACAGTTCGCTCCGAGGCTTGTGCTGATAGAGGTGGGGGTGCCACTGGGCGCCGGCCGGAGCGAGCTGGCTGCGCAGTCCCGGGATATGGACGGGCGGAGACTGCGCACTTGCTGCTGTTAGTAGGGAATATTCTGGCCATGCCCTGCCCCCACCCCACTCTGTCTACAGAGGTGGAGAAGGACTCACCACTCACTTGTCCTTTCTGGGTCTGAATATGGAAGGATTGCTCATCTTACCCTCACTCGGCACATGGCATCACAAAGCCAAAAAACAAACAAACAAACAAAAAAAACAGTCAAATAATGGTAAAATGCAAGACATTTGCCTTGCCTTGCCATAACAGTACAGTGGGAGGCACCCCTGTGTATGTGAGCATGCAGGACTTGGTGTTCCACGGTCACATAAATTGTTATGGGTTGAACCGTGTCCCCCCAAAAGACAGGTTGAAGTCTTAAACCCCAGCACCCCAGAATGTGAGCTTATTTTGAAATAGGATCATTGCAGATATATTAAGATAGGGTCACTCCAGAGCAGGGTGGGACTTCTACTCTGTACGACTGGTGTCTGTAGAAGAAGACACTGTGCAGACACAGAGAGGAGAAGGCCACGTGAAGAGACACACAGGGGAAAGACGGCCATGTGGTGACAGAAGCAGACCCAGGCACGGGGCGTCTGCAAGTGAAGGAGCACAGGGACTGCCAGCGACCACCGGAAGCCAGGGAGAGGCCAGGAAGGATCCCACCAGAGCCTTAGAAGGAGCGTGGCCCTGCCGACACCTTGATTTTGAATTTCTAGATGCCACAACTGTGAGAGAATACATTTCTGTCATTTTCAGCCACCCACATCATGGTTCTTTGTTATGGAAATCCTAGGCAACCAATACAATAATTAATTACTGTAAGAATAATCAAGCTAACATTTATTAAGCATTGATACACAGCAGAAACTATGCTAAGTATTCTATAGGCATTAGCACATTGAAGCTTCACAACTGTCCTGTGAGGTGAGTCCTCTTATTTCCAATTGACAGACGAGGGAACAAGGCTGGCTGAGGGTAACAGCTCCACAGGGACAGAGCTGGCGTGGGGCAAACCTCTGCGTATACTAGAGGCGCACTCTTCATTCTCCACGACCTGCATTGCAGCCCGACGTGGGCAGGGGTCACGTGGGGTTTTTCAGCAGGGGATTGTGTTTGCGGGGCCCCAGGGCTCCTCTGCCGCAGGTATAGAGGATGGAGGGGGGAGAGCCAGTAACTGCAGGGGACCCTCAGCCTTCCACGTCTGCTGCAGTGCACACCACTTCACATTCATGTGTCATATATTCGATGCTCACATATGTTTTAAACCAAGTTTGCTGCTGCTAAGAAAAAAATAAAAATTTGAAATCATTGCTGTATAGAGGAAAATTCTTCTTTATGGAGGAATTCCAGGTAATTCCAGGCAATAGATACGAAGCAAGGATAAAATTAGAAAATTAACCAATCTGCAATCTGTAATCTGTAATGAAACAGTGGTACCCATTATAGTGGTACCCATATATAGGTCACCATCATCAAAAGATGCTTAAACATTAGGTGAAAGGTCGGTCAGGAACTTTACAATGGAAGAATCAGGTTGATACCATCTGAACCTACTGATCAGATATTTTTGTTTTGTTGGGTTTTTTTCAAAATTTTTTCCAGCTATGCTGAGGTATAGTCAACCAAAAAAAATGTATGTAGTGGTTAAGGTATGCACCATGATGCTTTGACATATGTACATATATTGTGAAACGATGAGCACAATCAAGTTTGTTCGCATAGCCAACACATAGTTACGGTGATCAGATGATGTGTCTCACGATGTGATGCGATAGGAAGTACGTAGCACCACTTACAAAAAAAATTGAATTTGAATTCAAATCAAATTTGAGCAAGTTCTTGATCTAATACCAGGTTAGGGAAAGTACACAAGATAGAACAAGTTAAATGACGTAGTGAGGAAGCAACCAGCCCAAATTAGAAGATGGGTCATTGCCCAGGAAAAATCATTCTATTAAAAAAAAAAAAAATCAATGAATGAGAAAGAGAATGGAGGCTATTAGAGATTACATGAGATCAAAGAGATATAGTAACCAAATAAGATGGATAGACTTTGAATCCCGAATCAAACAAACTTAATACAAAAAGATATTTTTGAGAAAATTGGGAAAACTAGAATATGGACTGGGAATTAGAAAGTACTATGGAATCACTGTTCTTTTTTTTTTTTTTTTTTTTTTTAGTTGGATGGTGACTGTGTTTAAGGGAAAAATGGTTCTTGCTAGTTAGAGAAGCTTGGTGTGGTCCATAGAAATGACTTGATGTCTGGGATAGGATGGAGGGAAGGAGACCAGAAAAAATCATGACCTCTTTCCTGAAACCCAAGCAAGCAGCTGCCTTTGTTGAAAGCTGGCCATGCCCAATCACCCAAAGTGACTTATCTAGGGAGTAAATGACTCTCCATACTCACAGGGCTTGTAGGTTGGGGAATTGCCTAGAATTACCTAAAAATTTTGTGTCATCAAAGTGAGGCGTGAGGCAGAAAAACCTGCCTATCACAGCCCCTGGGGAGTTGGCCTGGTGGGTCCAGCTCACCCCTCCTCCCCCACAGTACCTGTTTGCTCAGTTCTTGGCTTAGATGACCACAAATGTAATTGCAAAAGCAGTAAAAGGAATGCATATCTCTGTATTTATGTGTTTGTGGTTGGGGGGCCCTTCCTGCTGAGTGTAAGGATGGTGTCACCATCACACATGCTTCTTGCTGGGATGTGTGATCAATTGAAAAATTACGCATCTTATGGAAGATGCGTAAAGTAGTATGCATTCAATAAATGTTAGCTACTACCATTGCCATCATGATTACTATTATTATATTACTGATATTGAACATAATTATCACTGAACACTCTATGTCTGTTCCCTTTGTGTTAAGCCTTATTTGCCCAATTGAAGAAATTTGGCAAGTCAGCTCAAGGCTAAGGATATCCTTAAGTATTTCTCTCTACCCCCTCTTGCATGCACACCTGGGACAGTGCTCTGTAAATAATAGGTTTGCAATAAACACCTGTTGGAGAGGCCCCATGGGTGGGGAAGCTGGTGGTGCTTTCCCCTCAATGTAAGGTCTACGAGCTCTGGTGAGCAAAGACAGGCATTAGAGGCAACAGACTTGAGTTAAATTCCTGGCTCTGTCACTTAAATAGTGAACTTGGCCATCTTACTGAATGTCTTTTAGCCTCAGTTTTCTGATACGTAAATTGGGGCCCAAAGTCTCTGCCCCATAAGGCCTTGAGGACACAGCTGGAGTCTAATTCAGCCCCTGGCTCTCCATGGACACCATGTACTATGGTAATCTCTGAGCTTCTCTCTTCCCCTCTAGAGTGGGGATGGAGAGTGGGGATGGACTGTTGACTAGGCCTGAGTGTTAACTGCAAGAGCATATACAAAGGCCATGCATAGAGGAGATGTATAATAATATGTGTGTTCTTGTTCCTTTAAAAAAAATAGTTTTCAAGTTTAGGTTGGCATTACAGGTCAGCCCTCCTCGAGCCCTTGTGGCTGCCTGCTCTGGGCTCTGCCCTGCCCCACCCTGCCACTCACAGCAGCAGCCCGGCCCTCACCATGGCCCCAGGAAAGCAGGAATTACCAGCAACTGACCTAAGGGCTGGGGCGATTGCTTGCTGTTCTCACTTTGAAAAAGACAACATTGCACATACAAAGAAAAGTTCAACTCAACACTCTAAGAGCATGTTAGCAAAAGCCACCGAAGTCACAGGACAGAGGGGAAAAAAATAATCAACATACAGTATTTTATGTTTCCCTTATGTTCTCTTAGAGAAGTTGGTTCTAATCTCCATCTTATTACTAATTATGAATAACCTTGGGCCATGCGATTCCCTTCTCTGGGCCTCAGTTTTCTTGTCTATAAACCCAAACGTGTTTGTAACCCGAGCCTTGCACACCTTTAGAATTCAAGAGTCTACGAACTTTGATGGGAAAAAAATATTTTTATATATTTGTGTATGTATTTTATATAACACATTAAAAGATATAAAAAATATATTTTTTCACTAACTTCTATGGGAAAGTTAACATTTTCTTTTATCATGTCAACTGAAGAATCAAGAGGTTCATAAATTTGGTAAGGAGAGCTTTATTTCTTATAGAGAGTTTCAGGCTGAAGGCTGTCTACCTGCAGGCTGGGAAGCATAGCCTCCTACAGAAATGGAAGGTCCAAGCATTTGCAAGCATTTGGAGGGAGGGAAGGATGAGACAGGAATTTATGCTGAATTCATGTTAGCCAAATATACATATTCAACAAGTTATAGAAAGAGCTATGAATATTCATGAAGGGAGGAAGCATACACGCATAGTAAGCATACATGCATGTTACATGTATCCCAACGTTCACTTTGGGGTAGACAGTTAACGTTCACATGTATTACAGTTAGACTCTATACAAGGTGAAACAGAGGACAGAGGTGTTTTGTGCACAGCCTCTGTAAATCAGCCAGAACTAGTCCATGGTCAGTGGTATCTTACCAGGAAGGAATGCTGGTCAGTGGTTGGGTCAAAACTGAAAAAAAGGGAGGGAAGTCCAGCAAGTCTTTGAAAGGGCTGATTTCTGTTTAACCCTTAGGAAAAAAAAGTCTAATATTGGTTAACAAGGAGGGGGTATAATGAGGCAAATCCAACCTCCCATCTTGTCCATCATGAATGGGGACTCAGTTTTTAAGGTTTCTCTGGGGTCCCCTTGGCCAAGAGGGGAGTCTGTTTAATTCAATGAAAAGTTTAAGATTTTATTTTTATTCTCAATTATAAATGAATGTAGGCAACCAAACAACAAGAGTTTTAGGAGTTTCTGTGACCTCATCATTGATAAAAATAAGATATTTTTATGTCACATTATTGTTGAAATCCAAAGTACTATTTATGCTTACCAATACTTTGAAATTACAGTAGCTATTAGCTGTAAGCAAATACATTACTAAGTCATAAACTTGATTTTTATTTATTTTTTTCTAAAGAGACAGGGTCTGTCTCTGTTGCTCAGGCTGGAATGCAGCGGCACCATCATAGC